TGGCCCTGGGATGCCCACGTCCCTGTCCCAGGTGGGTTTGTACCTCTGCCCTGTGCCAGCTGGGGGCTGCGTGCGCTCCTTGGGCAGCAGGTGGGGGGCACCTGGGGAGAGCGCAGCCCCATGCCACCAGGGCAGTAAAAGGACACGCAGAGGTGTGCCTGGTGGCTCTTGGGATGCTGCAATCAGTGCACGTGGGGTGAGATGTGCAGCACCAGCATGGCACGGAGGAAGCAGCTCCCTGCAGCTGCCTGCGCTCTGCTGCAGCAAAGCTCATTTTGTGCAGCCCCCGGCGAGGCACTAATCAGCTGGACACGGCTGCCACCAGTGCTGGGAGATGGGAGCTGTGATCAAAGGGACCTGGGAACAACGTCGCGGCCGTTCCCACTCGCTGTCAGCATCGGCTCCTCTCCAGCCTTGTGGTTTTTTTTTTTTGCTCAGCTCTGCCGTGGTGGGGAGGCGAGGTGGGGGCCCAGGCTGCTGCAGGGCAGGGCAGGGTGTGAAGCTTTGCATGTCCGCCGTGCTGTGCTGCCCATCCTGCTCACCTCGAGCCGCTCAGGGCCCTGTCCCTGCTCTGTGCTGCACAACCCCAGCAGCCTGGGGCAAGGACGAGCTGAAGGGCAGAGGCAGAGGAGCCGGCTGGGGCAGCGGGGCTGCCTCCAGCACCACCCCATTGGGGCTGGGGGGCATCCTGCACCCCGCTCAGCCCTGGGGCTGTGGCCAAGCATCGCTGCAGCGGGGATGCAGCCTCGCTTCCCATCCCAGCCTGTGCCAGGATCAGGGCTCAGCAAGATGACAAAGCCAGGGGCTGCCTTCTGGGGGCAAAAGGGGGGGGCATAGGAGCCCCAGCAGAGCAGTGATGAGGCTTGGGGGCACGAAGCCTGACCCAAGCATCCCTTTGCTTGCAGGAGCCCCTGCAAGGGGTGGGCAATGGGGAGAAGCCCCCAGCCCGGGCTGGGGGGTGCAGGAGAGCAGCCGACCCAGCCGCGGGGGGGTTCAGGGCGCTGCCTCCTTGCGCTGGGAACCCGGGGCTGCAGTGGCCGGGGGGGCTCTGACCGGAGGCAGGGACCTTCCCCCGACCCTTGCCCGCAGATCCCCGGGCAGAGAGGCTGGGAGCGACCCCCCCGGGGCTCCCCCCGCCTCGCCCAGCCCTCGGCTGCATCCTCCGCCCTTCTCGGCCCCCGGTTGCCACCTGCCGGTAGCTCCGCAGTGCCACGGGGCTCCGCTCGCCCTGGAGTTTTGGCCGTGCCAAGCCCGGAGCCCCCCCACCCGGGGACCCCCCCCCACCTCCATCCCATCCCGACTCCTCTCAGGGATGCTCCGGGTGCCCCAGGCTGGGCAGTACCGGGGCCGGACCCCCCCCCCCTGCGCATCTCCCCGTGGCAAAACCGCAGCTCCCCAGCTCTGGGGGGGGGTCCCTCTCGTTGTCACCCCCGCGCCCCCCATCCCCAGGGTGGTGCCGGTGCCCCCTCCCTACCCACATCGAGCATCGCCCCCCCCCCCTGCATCCCGCTGCGGCAGGGCTGGGGGGGGGCGGGATGCACCGACGGGGCGGGGGGGGGACGTTTGATTTTTTTAGGGGAGTTGCGGACAACGAAGCCGCCGCCTCTCCCGGGGTCCCCCTGGAGCTGCGTGCCCGAGGGGGGGGGGAGCTCAGCGCGGACCCGGACCCCCGGGGCGGGTTGGGGGGGGGTCCCGGGAGGCGGCGGGACGGACTACAGGTCCCGGCATGCCCGGCCGCGCTCCGCACCTGCCCGGGGAGCGGCTTTTGTTCGCGGCGGGGCCGCGGGAGCGATGGGCGAGGGCCCCGCGGCCGCCTCCGCGCCGGGAGCAGCGAGCGCGCAGCGGTGAGTGCGCCCCGCGCCCGGCCCCGCGCAGCCCCGGCTGCAGCCCCCGGTACCCTCCCGGTACCCCCCGGTACCCCTTGGTACCCCCTCGGTACCCCCCCGGTATCCCCCAGCCCCCCGGTTCTCCCGGTACCCCGGCCCCTCGCCAGGGCGCACCGAGCTGCGGCGCTCTGGGGCGCACCGGGCGCATCGCGCCCTCCGCTTGGTTCCCCCCCTTTTAACCCCCTCTGCTCTCCCCGTTTTTCCCTGGCACACCGAGTCCCGGCACCTCCGGGCACCCTGAGCACCCCCCCAGGTCCGACGGGAGCCCCCCGAGCCGTGCCGGGCTCTGCCGGTCCCCGTTTCCCCCCTTCCTCCCCCCAATAATTCACTTTTTCTCTCCCCATCCCCGCAGCCCCTGCTTCCATACAGCAGCCCCAGCGCACTGAGCAAGTTTTCAGCTTCACCACCAAAATCTCCCACCCCGGGTGGGATTTTTCCCTCTCTCGGCTTTAGTGGCCTTGGGGGGGTGACAGCAGGGACGGGGTCCCCATTCCCTTGGGGATGGTTTGGCTCGGATGCGGTGGCCGGGCTCTGGCTGTGTTTTGTGCTCCCCGCTGCACGAAGCAGGAAGTCTGCACGCAGGAGCGGGGAGGGATTTTCCTGCTGTACGGGAAGAGGTTGATGCCACTGTGAGGATATTTCTCTAGGGGGAAGGGAGGGCGCAGGGCTCAGCCCCAAACCCACCGTGGGGTCACCCGTGGGGGAGCTCTGGTGCCTGTGGCAAAGCATCAGGTGTCCGGGGGCCACAACGCAGCGAAGGTGGTGGAGCCAGAGCTGAGGCCTGGGAAGAGGGGGGGCCAAATTCCACCTGGGAAGTGAGGCACCCCGTGGGATTACCTGCTGGGGCAGACGTCCTTCCCCGATGTCCTCGGGTGCGGGGAGAGGCCCGTTTCTGAAAGATGCATCGGTCCAGAGGCTGCCTCCTGAACACTGAGAGGGGATCTGATGGGCTGCAGGAGCCGATGGTCGTGCTGTGCCCTTCCCTGCACTGATAGCAGGGATGCTCCGAGGCTGGGGACTGCTACAGGGACTCCTCTGGGGACGTCCCCTGGGCCAGGGCAGGGCAGCAGCGTCGTCACCCCCATCCCAGCACCGGGACTGAGCCACTGCCTCACCCTTGCCCTCGCCCTGAGCATTGTTATTGCTCCTCTGCAGGCGTGGGAGCAGCCACACCAGGTGCTGAGCAGTGGCACCAGCCAGGCCTGGGCACCTTTGTCCCTCCTGCACGGTGACACCAAGCCGTGTGTCCCCATGGGGAAGCTCCCCAAGTCCTTCTGCCCCTCCAGCCACCTCCCCCTGGCCCATGCCCTTGCAGAGTTTCCTCGCTCCCCAACCCAGCCTCAGGCTCCTGCAGCAGCAGCTGGGGAGAAAAAATAGCCCGGAGCAAACCTCGCAGCCCACAGCACGGCTCAGCTGCTGCTGAGCTTCCTCGGCACGGGGTGGAGAAGGGGTTTGGGGGGAGCCCCAGCACGGCTGCGCTGCACGGAGGAGCCCGGGCAGGAGCTGCGTGACAGCATCAGAGCAGGGCAAGGAGCAGCGAGTGCAGGTCTGCACGTGCAGCAGGGCACGGGCTGAGCCCTGCAACTCCTGCCCCGCTCTTGGGGCACCCCCAGCTCCGCTGTCCCCATGCTCTCACCCCAGTGCCCCCCCACCAGCCCCCTTGGGACACGTCCCCAAGTCAGCCGCTGGGCACCGCAGTGGCTGAACGCCGGTGGGCTGGCGGGGTCCGGGGGCGATGGGAGCTGCTCACACGTGTCTGAACAAGGTCCCCTGCCCGGGCAGAGTTAATGGATGTGCAGGAGCTGGGCCAAAAGGAGACGCAGGGCTCCGTGCTGACGCAGAGGCTCGCTCCCCAGAGCCAGCGGCAGCGAGGGAGAGGGGCAGCGGCAGCCCGACACCTCGGCACGGTTGGTCCCTCTCCTTCCTGGGGGGAAAAATGGGGAGGGAGAGAGCCACTGGGGTGAGGGAGCCTTTCTCTAGGGCAGCACAGGGCAGGATCGGACCAGCCGGGTCTGGTGGTCCTGGTGTGGTGGGGCAGAGGGCCTGCGGGCGTGCTTTGGGATGTCCCTGCCACCCCGTGGCTGTCCCACGTGCCGGGCGCAGGGTGGCCCAGCCCTGGTGCTGTGGACGTGACAGCAGCCAGGCAGGAGCACGTGCCAGGAGGGAGGGCAGCGACGTGCCCGGCTTGGACCCGCTCCCGGGGCCGAGGGGCTGCCGCACTCAGCAGCCCCCCGCTGCAGCACAGATGGGGGGCACGGGGTTGGCACGGGGGGCTCCCACCCTGCAAGGCGGTGGGGCCAGCGGTGGCCACGGCCCAAACTGGAATCGCTGGAGGTGCCGGGAACGTGTTGGCTTTATGGCCTGTCTCATGATGTGTTTATGGCTGGGCTGGCACGGCCGCAGATGCTGCCCGGCCCTGCCCTGGGCGCACGGCAGGGCTGCGCTCTGCGTCTCATCGGCGCTGGGGTGGAGGATGGCAGCTGAACTTTGCTCGGCGAGGTGGGGCTCCCGAGGGCTCCCGCGAGAGCTGCCGGCACCGCAGCCGTGCCCGCCCGCTGCCGAGCACCTGGATTGGGGGAACGGGGTCCTGCCCGGTCCCCTCGGAGCATCCTCTCCCCCAGCTGGCACCAATCCGGACGTCACCAAATGTTTGCTTTGGTGCCGAGACCCTGCGCCACATAGCGGCCACCAGCTCGGGGGTGTGGAGCAGCGCTTAGCAGGTATGCCAACCCTGTGCCAACCCCAAAACCTGTAGGGCACTGGGGGCTGAGCTGGGGCTTGTCCCTGTGCTGGCTGTCCCCCTGGTTCCCCTCACCCATGGGATGAGTTTTGGCGTTGCTGTCCAGGTCTCCCCAAAGCCCAGAATCCCAGCAGTGCCACCGTGATGCTGCCCCCGGGAGGGGCTCAGCCGGTGGGGAGGACCCTCAGGGTCCACACGGGTGCTTGAGGACGTGGCTGGGGGGCAGGATGCGTCCCTCGTCCCCCAGTACAGCTCCCTAACACCTCCTTCTCCCCAGGTACCAGCCGGAGCAGGGACTCTGCCTCCTGCCAGCACCTCTCCGGGGGGCAGGGAGGAAGGTGCATCCCCCCATGGCAGCCGGCTCCCCCACGTAACGCCAGCCAAACTGGACACCGCGGTCCCGCAAGAGACCCCCCCCGGCCAGCGCCCCCCCTGCCTGCTGCCTCTCCACCCTGGCCCAGCCTCGCCGCTCGCTGCCCTGCCCCACGCTGACCCCGTGCCCCAGTCGCGATGTCGCCACCATCACCGGTGGGTAGAGCCTGGGGTGCCGGTGGGTGTCCGTGGGGTACCTGGGAGAGGTGGGGGTGTCAGGGGTGGGACAGCTCCATCCTGGTCCCCCCGCATCCCAGTCCCATTGCGTGGCCACTGCTGAGCCACCATCCCGGCGTCCCTCACCTCGTGTCCCCATCCCTGGTGTCCCCAGCGCCGCTTGGCTGGGCTGAGCGCGGCCAGGAGATGGCAGCAGGACCCTTCCTGCTGGAAGCAGGGGGTGGAGGGGACGGGGGACTGGGGAGAGCTGGGGGGGGGGTCCCTATGTGCCAGCCACCCAGCGCTGGACCCCCCCAGTCCCCCACGCACCTCCTGAGTGGCTTTGGGGGTGAGCTGGCCGCTGGTGGCACCAGCCCCAAACCTCGAGGGGACAGATGGGTCCGAGGGGTGCAAGAAGCTCTCCTCCGTTGCCCCCCCACCCCATTTCTTTGCCCCCCCACCCCTCGGCTGACCCGCTGCCCCTCTGTCCCCAGACCTGTGCAGCGGCGGCGATGTCCCCGAGGTGGAGATCATCAGCCTGCTGGGCGAGCAGCTGCCCCGCTACAAGCTGCGGGCGGACACCGTCTTCGGCTATGACCACTGACGACTGGCTGCGAGCCCCCCCTGCCCCCCCGGAGCCCGCAGCCCCCCTCACCCCCCAGCAGATCTCGGAGACCCTGCAGTATTTCCGTGAGTGCCCCTGTCCCGCGCCGTGGGGCTGGGCGAGGGCAGTGGGGCGCAGGTGATGGGGTTCGGGCCGGGTGGGGGCTGTGGGGGGGTTAATCGCCGCTAACGGGATTGCCGGCGTGGATTTCCTCACCCAGAACATCCTGGGCTAATTCTGGGAGCAGCTTCTGCTGAGCCTGAGCCGGACGCTCGCGGAGAGCCTCCGACAGCCCCCAGGGAACCCGGTGTGTCCCCCCGTCCCCGTGCCCTGCATCTCTCTGGGGTGGCCACCCGTGAGGGGTGTTCTGGTGGCCCCAAGTGCTGCTGTGCCCCCAAAAGCAGCCTGGAGTGGCCGAGGGGGTGTGGGGCTGCACCTGCCAGCAAAGCCCTGTGGGGTACGGGCACCTGGGGGGAGACCCCCGCAGCCCCCTGGCTGGGGAGGGGGCGATTCCCAACCAGGGAGCTGCGAGGCCCCTTCCCAGCACGGGGTCAGGGTCTGGGGGGCACACCTGGCTCCCTCTGCCCATATACGAGGGGCTGGGCTGGGGGCCACCCCCTGCTTGTGGCTGACCCCAGGGTGTTCCTGCCCCCCCCAGACCCCCAGCCCTGCAGTGTCTGGCTCAGCAGGACCCCGTGCGTCGCCGTCCCCTCTCCGTGTCACCTCCCTCTCCGTGTCACGTTTCCCCGTGCCTTGGCACCTGGGTGACGTTTGTGCCTTAGCGGTGTGGCAGGGGCCCGTGCTCCCCCATCCCTTCCCCCCAAAACCCTTAAGCTGCCATCAGAAATAGCCCCCTGTAATCTGCTTGCGCAGAGGCGCGGGGGACCTGCCCGGAGGAGCAAATCCCCCGGCGGGGGATTAGGAGGAAGAGGCTCCTGCCCGTCCGCCACGAGACGAGACGAGACGCAGGCTGTGTCCTTGGGGTGCTGTGTCCTTGGGGTGCCCTCGGGCTGTGACACCCCCAGGCAGAAACCACCCGCACAAGGAGCGGGGAGAGGGGGGCGCTGAGGGCGCCTGGGTCCTGCCCCAGCTCCCGGAGGGTTTCGTGGCTGTGGCAGGACGTGGTCAGGGTCCTGGATAGGATACAGGGAGGGGAGCGCGGGCCAGCGGGTGGGAATCCCGCAGGCAACTGGATGGTTTGGTGCTGAAGGGCAGCTCCTGCCCCAGCCTCATCGATTCATTGATCAGCTCAGTGCTAATGAGGAAAGGCACAGGGGGCAGGCGGTGTCATGGTGTGCATTGGCATCACCAGAGGTAATATCCCGCTGGAGGAGGGCCCCGCTCAGCACCCCGTGGCTCTGCACAGCCCCGTAGGGTCCCAGACCCCACTGCCCTCCTGCCCACCACCCCTGCGCAATGTGGCTCCTCCACACTTCAATTTATTCAGCTCTCCCTGCCTCTGCACAAGGGCGTTTGTGGAGGTGCTGGGGGTGCCAGCTGGGGAGCATGGGGCACCCAGGACCCATAGGGGACAGGCATGTGCCAGCCTGTGCTGGGGCTCAGAAAAGGGGCTGCTGAGCAGGGCAGGTTTGAGGATGAAGGAAAAACCCTTCCCGTGGGTCCTGGCACTGCACTGGGCACCCAGGCGTGCAGCGTTTGCATCCTGCTCAGTGACAATGGGGACAGTTTGGGGTGAAAGAATGAGGCTGGCCAGGTGCAGGGCAGGGAGCACGCTGTGGTGACCTGGCAGTACCCACGGGTAGGGTTTGGGGGTCCTGAAACCCCTCCTTGTCCCTCCTAAGGGGCAGACGCTGCCACCTTTGCGTGACCCAGCTGGGGTCAGCCCCGCAAAGCCGCTGCTCAGGAGCCAGCGACCCCTCAGTGTCCCCTCTCGGCAGTCAGAGCTTGGCACCACGTGGGGCTGCTGTGCCCAGACCCCACCGTGTCCCAGTCCTGCTGAGGTGGGACGCAGCACCCCAGGGCTGAGCGGGACCACCCTGATGGGAAACGCGTCCCCAGGGTGCCCCAATGGGGAGCCCTGCCTTGGGGTGCCTGATGGTGACCACGTCCCCAGGGTGCCCCAATGGGGACCCCCGCCTTGGGGTGCCTGATGGAAAGTGTGTCCATGGGGTGCCCCCCAGGGGTACCTGATCCTGGGCCTGCACAAGCGGGGGGGAGTCTCCTGGGATGCTCCAAAGGTTTGGGGTGCTCCGGGGCGCAGAATGGGGAGCGCGGCTCCCAAGCGCCCTCAGCGGGACCGGGTCCCCAAGGACGCACGGGGAGCGCGCAGCCAACCCAACCGTGCCGTGCCGTGCCGGGTCCTACCGGGGGGAGCGGGCAGCCCCCGGCCCCGCCGCCCCCGCCCCGCTCCAGCCCAGCACCGCCCCCGCCGGGATGCGCCCGGGCAGGTGCGCGCAGCCGGGGCGACCCCATAAATAGGGGCGGGAGCGAGCGGCTCGGCACGGCTCGGCTCGGCACCATGGAGATCTGGAGCAGCCCCGCTGCCTACGATGAGCTGAATGGGAATGCGGAGCGGGGCGGCGACGCTGACCCCATAGCCAGGGAGCTGGAGGAAGGTGAGGGGTCCTGGGGCTGGGGGTGCGCGGAGCGGGGCTGGGGCTGGTGTGGGGCTGGGGCTCGGTCTCAGTCTGCGGTGCCAGGGAGGTTTTGGGGCTGGGGTCTCCCCAGCAGCTGCTGGTGACCATTTTCGTGCTGCCCTAAGACTGGGACCCCATATTTGGGGCCATGCTGGCTTTCCCCATGGGGTCGGCAACCCCCCACAACCACACTTACTGGGGGGAAATTGGCTGCCCTTGGGGAGTCCCATGTTTCCCAGTGGTCAGCTCCCCGATAGTGGCGAGTGGAGGGATGGGGAGAGGTTCCCCAGTGCCGTGTCCCCAAGGGGCTGGGGGGCTGCCCTCCTGGGGGGCGCAGGACCCTGTGTCGTGCCGGATCAGGCCCTGGCAGTTGGCGCGGGTGCGTACGTGTCCGCCGGCGTTGCGGCTCCCAGGGCCTGCCGCTTGCTCACGCCATAACGATGCTCATGCTCTAATTACTTCCAATTAACAGCTCAGTGGCCTGACGAGGTGCAGTTGGGGACCCCTGCAGGGACCAGGCCCTGTTGGGGCACGGGGAGGGGGCTGAGGCTGGGGCTGGCCCCCCTCTCCCCATGGCCGTGCCTGCGGGGGGCTGGACAGGGGACACGGGTGGCGAGTGGGGGCATTGCCATGGCGATGCACGCACCATTACACAACCCCAGCTGGGGCGGCGTAATGGGATTTGTGTGGCTGAGCCTCTCCCGTTAACCCACTTTGCCTGCCCCAGACATCCCCCCCCGGCTGGGGGAGCACTGCTGGGGCTGGGGGGGGAAGGGGACAGACACGGGGCGTGCGCCGCTCTGCTGGGGGAAACTGAGGCACGCACCCATGGGGCTGTGGATGCAAGAAGGGGGTGTCGGCAGCGGCTGTGGGGTGCAGAAAGGGTTTGGGGTATGAGCAGGGCTCGGGGCCTCGTGCTTGCTGCTGGCTCCCTCCTGCTGCGTGGCTCCGGCGCTGCCATCTGGGTGCGTGCCCGGCGCCGTCTGGCAGCGTCTGCAGGCGGTGGGGTTGGGGCTGGGGCTGGGGGGACAGACAGACGGCCCCGGCCCCACGCTGCCCATCTGTGCCAGAGCCCCAGACACTGGGGGGGGAGGTGAGCCTCGAGCGTGGTGATCCTGCTGTGCCCGTTCCTGGGGCCGCAGCCTGGAGCTGCCTTTGCCCCGTTGCAGATTGTGGGCAGTGGGGTGGGTGCATGCACAACATCCCCCGAGGACAAATTTTGGTGCTGGGTCCCCACAGTGCGATGGAAATGGGGGGGCTGTGGTCTGTCCCCTGCCTCCCAGCCACCAAAGCAGGGGCTGGAGCAAATCCCTGTGCTCGGCTCGGCCTCGGTCAGCAGCCCCATGGAGAAAGTAGGGCAGGGCTGGCTGCTGGCGGGGAGGGCTGGGGAGGGGGCTGAGGATGGAGGGGACGTGGCGCTGCCTCCCAGCCCTGCACGATGCCACCTGTCGCTTCTGGTACCACCTCCCATCCCATCTCCGCTGTCGGCCTTTCTCCATCCTGACCCCGTTCCCCATGGTGCCATCGTGAGCATCTCTGCCCGCACCACGCTGCGGACAAGTCCATTTTGGTGACCAGCGTGGAGCAGCTCCACCTCCTGTCCCCATCACAGCGAAGCACAGGGGACAACACGTGGTGCTGGGGGAGCTGCAGCACGGGGGGGAGGCAGCCTGGGAGCCGTGCTGAGCCCCCCACCCCAATGGGGTTCTCCCTTTGCCCTCCTCCCCCAGTCCTGTGCACCGAGCGGGCCGTCAGGATCACCAAAACCTACCACGACATCGATGCCGTCACCAACCTCCTGGACGAGGTACGATGCAGCCTGCTCCGTGCACGGGGAGCTCGGGGCTGTGCGGGTGGGCCTGGGGGGCTGCAGGAATGGGGACAGATTGGGGACAGGTCCCGGCTGACACAGAGCTCCCCCCCCCGCAGAAAGAGCGGGACCTGGAGCTGGCGGCGCGCATCGGGCAGTCCCTGCTGAAGCAGAACCGGAGCCTGACGGAGCGCAACGAGCTGCTGGAGGAGCAGCTGGAGCTGGCCAAAGAGGAGGTACCGGCCCCTGGGCACGGAGCGCTGCCCTCGCCCCACTGTGTCCCCGGCCATGCCCTGATGTCCCCTCTCCTCCTCCCAGATCGCGCAGCTGCGCCACGAGGTCTCCATGCGGGACGATCTGCTCCACTTCTACACCACCACCACGGAGGAGAGCGAGCCCACCTCGGCCACCGCCACGCCGTGAGTGGGTCCCTGCCCCGCTGCCCACCCCCTGGGGCTTCTTTGGGGTGGGTGGGTGGAGGAATTGGGTCTGGGGTCCTGCAGATGGGGTTGGTGGGTGACCCCCATCCTGCCCACGCTGCGGGTGCTCAGCACCTTCCACGCTGTCCCCAGGCTGCGCCGGCAGGAGTCGTCCTCGTCCCTGCAGCAGTACTTCCAGTACGACACCTTGCAGCAGAAACTCAAGTGCCTGGAGGAGGAGAACCAGAAGCTTCGCCTGGAGGTGAGAGGGGGACACGTGGGGTGCCCAGCAGCGAAGCTGGTGGGGGGGATACGGAGGGCTCAGGGCTGTGGTGTGCCCTAAATCCCCTTTGGGGGGTCTGGTGGTGCTGCCCCTCACGCTCACCGTCTCCATCCTCAACCCCAGGCCACCAACATTGCGATCGAGACCTGCCAGTACGAGGACCAGGAGCACCAGCTGATGATCGACTGCGTGGAGCAGTTCTGTACGTGGTGGGGGTGGTGGTGGGTGGGTGGGGGGGCCGGGCATTGCTGTGGGGGGCTGTGCTGACGGCCCCCCCGGCTCTGTCCCCAGCCGAAGCCAGCCAGCAGGTCGTCTGCCTCTCGGACGAGCTGGCCCGCAAGGCGGAGGACACGGTGAGGCAGCAGGAGGAGATCAGCCAGCTCCTGGCGCAGGTGGTGGACCTGCAGCAGAAGTGCCGCGCGGTGAGAGCCCCCTCCCCATCCCCTCCTTGTCCCCTTCCCTGTGCCACGGGGGGGGCTCAGGGCGAAGCTCCCTGACCCCCCCATCCCGCAGTACGGCTCGGAGGTGGAGGAGCTCCAGCAGCACCTGGCTGTGGCCAAGGAGGTGCAGGAGCAGCTCCGGACAGAGGTGAGCTTGGGGGGCTGGCTGCTGGGTCCCCCTTACAGTCAGGGGGGGTTTGGGGGGCCGTGCACTGAGCTGTGCCCCCCCCTGCAGCTGCGGGACCTGCAGGAGAAGTACACGGAGTGCGGGGGGATGCTGCAGGAAGCCCAGGAGGAGGTGAAGAGCCTGCGCAGCCGCAGCCTCCCCAACAGCACCGTCAGCCGCTACGGCGCGCCCAGCCTGCTGCCCGTGGTGAGCCCAGCGGCAGGGTTTGGGTGGTGGGGGGGGCTCCGTGCACCCCCCCCTTTCCCAAATCTTCATCCATCCTCTGCCTTTTCAGGACTCGCTGGCAGCTGAGATCAAGGGGACGATGAGGAAGGGGACGGACGGATCCTCCTCGGACTACAAGTGAGCGTCAGCCCCTCGAAGAGGGGGGGGTCCTGGTGAAAAGGGGGGGGTTGGCTGGTTCAAACATCCACCCCCCCGCCTGCTTCCTGCCCCCAGGAGCTACCTGCGTGTCTTCGAGACGGTGAAGGCGGTGAACCAGGCGGCCAAAGCCAAGTCGTGCTCCGAGTCTCCCCTGCATGCGCCCAGCTCCAAGCAGCTGTCGGCCGTCCCCTCCAGGGGGGGCAGCACCCCCCCGGCCGGCTGCTGTGGCTCTGAGGGCACCCAGTGAGTGCTGGGGAGGTGCTGGTGGTGGTGGGGGGGGGGGATGTGTGATGGAGCTGCCACCCCTGCAGAGGGGTTGGGGTTATTTATGTGATCTCAATCCCATTGCAGGCACGGGTTGGGGCAGGCTGGAGCGGGGTGGATGCGGTGTAGGGCACAGGGGGGGCCCCGCTGTGGGATCGTGCCCCCCTTTTCCCCCAGCCCCCTGATGCTGAATCCCCTTGGCAGGGGCGAGGGGTCCGGAGAGGACCCCCATGGGGCTGCCCCCCCCGGCCGGCGGGCGCTGGAGGCGGCGGTGCAGCGGCTTTCGGCACGGCAGCAGAGCCACGGCTCGGGGGAGGGCTCCTTCTTCGAGGCTGAGCGGGAGCGCAAGCTGTGGAAGCTGCGGGACGGGGAGAGCTCCAGCGGCTTCCTCACCCCCACCGAGAGCATCGTGTCCACCGGCACCAACCACTCGGGGGGCTCGGAGCTCACCACCGGCTCCGGTTTCTCCCTGGGCTCCCTCACCTACCTGCCCGACAAGCTGCAGATCGTGAAGCCGCTGGAAGGTGAGGGGTTAGGGGGGGCCTTCTTGGTGTCCCCAGTGCAGCCTTGGAGGTGCCCCTGGGCTTGGCTGAGCCCCTCTGTTTTGTGTGTGTCCCCCCCCCAGGCTCGGTGACCCTCCACCACTGGCAGCAGCTGGCCCGGCCCAACCTGGGGGGGATCCTGGTGCCCCGTCCCGGGGTGCTCACCAAAGACTTCAGGCAGCTGGACATCGACCTGGAGGAGGTGTACAGCCTCACCGACCTGGAGGAGGACGAGGTGGAGGCCGCCTCCTTCCAGCTGCTCCCTACCTCAACACCCACCAAAGCCAAGGAGCGCCCCGGGGGTGAGCGCAGGGCGAGGGGACGGGGGGGCGATGGGGACCCCAGCCCCTCCCTGCCCTCCTCCTGCTGTTCCCCCTCGCACCCCCCAGCCCCTTTCCCTCTCCCCTCAGCATCCCTCCCTTCTGCCCCTGCCTCCCCGTGGGGATGCTCTGGCCACGGTGGCACGGGGGCATGCGGGGAGGGGGGGTCTGGGAAAGAATTTGGCTCCGAGCCCCCGCTGAGCGGGTGCTGACCCAAATGCTGCTGGGTGTGCGCCCTTGGTGCTGGTTTCTGCTGGCCAGGACCACTCTCATCTTGATGCCCCTCTTGGTGCTCCCGCATGCCCAGCACCCTGCTCGCTGCCTCTGCATGTGCCCCTTTTCCTGATTTTTTTACCCCCCCCCCCTCCTGCCCGTTAACCCGGTGTCTCCTGTCCCTTCCAGTGTTCCTCTCTGTTAACAACCTCCCCCAGACCCCATCCACCTTCACCATCACCACCTGCCACATCCTGCACCCCACCACCGAGATCACCACTGTGACACCCAGGTAAGGCGCGTGGCCCCCCCACCGCCTGCACCGCTGCCCCCTGCTCCCCCCAATCCTTCCCTTATCCCCCCCGTCCCCCCTCCCACAGCTCCAGGACCCGGCACTCTTGGGGCCCTGCAGCTGCTGCTGCTGCCCTGAGAGCTGCTCGTGGACACATCCCCAAATTGCACTGCTTGAGCCACTGCACCCCCAGGAGGCTGGGGGCAGCCTCCCCTTGCTTTCCATGATGGGGAAAAAGATTTTTTTTATTTTTTTGGGGGGGTCCTGGGGGTGAGAGCAATGTCTGTCTGCTCCTGGTGCCTGGGATGGCTCTGTTCTGGGAGCTGATGTGGATTTCTGTTCTTCCTCCTCCTCCTCCTGCAGCTGCTTCAACCCCTGGGGCCTCTCCCAGGGTGTGCTGGAGGAGAGGAGCCAGGCAGGGCTCGGAGCAGAGCTCTGCCAAAGCCCCTGCTTCCTGCTGGGGCTGGGCTGGAGCGAGGACCAGGCACCTTAATTAATGAGCCCTAATGTGCCCCTGCTGGGGGCTGGGGTGAGCTGGAGGCTGCTGTCTGCTGGTGGCCAAGGAGAGCTTTTTGCCTTCCCAATGCCCTTGGAGCAGTCCCTGTGCCCCCTCCTCTCCTTGCTGCCCCCTCCCTGGGCCACGACCATGTAGGAAGGAGGAGAAGAAGGGGCTGCGGCCCCCCCAGCTCCAGCCATCCCCCTAATACCCCCCCCCTTGCTCTCTTTTTCTCCCCCTCCAGTCTGTATAACGCCGTCGTGCCTTCTTGTGGGCCCATTGAGAGGCTGAACCTCTGCCCCCCCTCACCAGAGCTGCCCAGCCCCGGCCCCCCCAGCACCCCCCTGGGACTCATCCGGCTCCTCCTGGTGCGGGGCATCTCAGCCTCGGTACCCTCAGCCGTATCCTGGTGGCCCCCCTCACTCCCTGCCCAGGACCCCCAGAGCTCCCTGCAGCCCCCTCCTGAGGCTGGGGGGGGACAGCAGCAACCCTCGTCCCCCAGCAGCATCTTCAGCTTGAACCTGGTGGAGAAGCTGCGCCGCCTGGGGCTGGATAAGGTGGTGGCCCGGGGGGAGCTGTCCTACGCACGAGGAGAGCACAGGGGGGGCCGGGATGCGCCGACGTGATGGCACAGCACAGCCTGCACGCGTGGGATGAGATGAGACGTGATGTGTCCTCCTCCTCCTCCTCTTCATCTCCAGCCATGGGCCACAAATCTGGGCCAGGTTCCTGCTCCCTGGGCTCTGCCCAAACCCTGGCTGCCTCCTGGTGGTTTGCAGGGGTTTGGCCCTGGCTGCAAGGACACAACGCTGCGATGCCACGGGGTCCCCCTGCGCTGCTCCCCCAGCCCCACGTCCTGCAGCTGCAGGGGTCCCAGGTGCAGGATGCTCAGGGCACTCAAGGACACTGGCCCTGTCCCCACCCAGAGGCTGTGGACCCTTCACCGGAGCCCGTTTCTAGCAATAAAAACTGTTCTGGCTCCTGTCACGGCTGCAGCAAGGGGCGATGCTCAGCCTGTGCTCGAGGCCGGGAGGAGCTGCGTGTGCCAGGATGAGACCCCCACCGCCACACCTGGGCAGCGTCTGGGCTGATTTTAAAGCAAATGGTTTTAAAACTCGTTTCTGCCCACCGCATAGACGTAGCAGCGCTGCTGGGGGGCTGCTGGCAGCGAGTGTCTCAGGGTGTAGCTGTCACTCGTGCCGGCTCTGTCCCTTGCCCCCAGCTGTGCCCTGTCCCTTATCCAATAAATGTGAAGAGCTGAAGCAGCTCCCGTGTGCTGTGTCTGTAGCTGTGCGTTCCTGCTGTGCCCTGCGCATCCCCTTGGGGTTGGGGACTGAGCCCTGCCCCCATTTTTCCCAGCAAAGAGCCCAGCGGCAGAGGCTGTAGTGCCAAAGCTTTATTGCAGCAAGAAAGATGCACCAAGGGTGCCAGTGCTCTGCACGGCGGGGGCGATGCTTATGCAGCTGAGTCTTCGGAGCTCCGGCGGCCAAAATCCATCCAGTCGGGGTAGAAGTGGTCGTGCAGGGCCTCGTCCCCCTCGTCCCCCTGCACGAAGCCCTTGCGGTCTCTCAGCTCTGCTGGGGCAAAGGGAGCGGGGTCAGAGCCACCCGGGACTGGGGCTGGGCTGTGCCTTATGGGGTTCCCCTGGGGCTGCCCACCCTGTGCGTCCCGTGGGGCCGTGGTACCTGCGAACATGTGGGGTAGGAAGCGGGAGATGAGGTGCTGCTGCTCCTGGGACAGGGACTCGGGCCAGTCCCTCCGGACCAGGCTGGTGGGGAGCCGCCGGGGGTCCCCCACGGCACCCGGTGCCTCCGCGGCCGGCCGGCACAGGCAGGCAGTGGCCACGACGGCGAGGACGAGGCCGACGCACACCTTTCCCTTCATAGCTGTGGAGAGAAGGGGAAGGGGAGCAGAGGGGCTGCAGCCCCCAAAGTGAGGCCAGCAGCTCGGTGGGGTGCAGGTGGGGCCGTGGGGTGCTCATCCCCAGCGCACGGCTGGTCCCCAGCCCCGCTCCAACCATCCTAACTGGTCCCCAGGTCTCCCTGTCCCCTTGTCCAGTCCCCAGGTCCCCAAACCATGCGTCCCAGCAGGTCCCCGCGTCCCCACCATCCCTCCCAGGTCCCTCTCCATCCCTCCCAGCTGGTCCCCAAGTCGCCCCGCATCCATCTCAGGTCCCCCCCCCATCCCTCCCAGCCTCACCCCAAGTCCCCCCATCCCTCACCTGCTGGCTGCAGGACTCAGGCTCACCTGCAGCCGAGCCCGGCCCCGCTTTTCAAGGCGCCCCCGGCCTCGCTCCTCCCCGGGAGGGGCGGCCCCGGCCGGCCCCCGCCGCGCCCCGCAGCACCCCCGGGGCTCCGGGGCGGCTTCTGCGGGGGGGACCGGGGGTGCAGGGGGGTACACGCGTGTGTACAGACACACACACACACACACATACATGTATGCACATACACACACTTGATTAGTGGTAAAGTTGGCAGTGCTGAAATTAATGGTTGGACTTGACCTTAGACTTTTTTTCCAAGGTAAATGAGGCTCTGATTCTATACACACGTGTATATGTGCACATGTGTATTCATACACACACATGTATGCATACATACACATGATATATACATAGAAAAGCACATGTTTAGTGGTAAACGTAGTGCTAAGTTAGTGGTTGGACTTGATCTTACACGTCTTTTCCAACATAAATGATTCTATACAAGTGTATATAAACATATAAACACATGTACATACATGTACCTACACACACACGTCACATATACACATGTGATTACACACACAGATATACATGCAGATGTTTAGTGGTAACCTTGGCAGTGCTAAGTTAATGGTTGGACTTGATCTTAGACATCTTTTCCAAAGTAAATGATTCTGTGAGTCTATGCACACAGAGACACAAACATATAGGACATACATGCATACACATACATACACATAGGCCACCTTTGCCCACACACACTTTTTAACACATACAGTTATGTGCACATATATCACAGTCACAGACTAGCTTGAGTTTTATATAGACACTTATATAGGTATAACTAAATAGGTATGTATATTGATATCTGTGCATACATGCAGAGCTTGATATTCTCTCTCTCTCATAGAGCAATATCTGTACAGAGACACATGTACATGTATTTACACACCCAAGCACACAATGCCACATGCACATTTACAAATATACCTATACGTGTGTGTTTTTATATGCATGGTCTTATACATATGCACATATATAAAAAGAGTTAACAATATCAAGACGTATCTGTGTGCCTGCACACATGGGTTTATATGGCTGGAGACTATGGCAATTGGCCATGGCAGTATGTAGGTGTACAAAATGTATTTCTTTAGCTAGCTACCTGTGGGTATGGCTATATGCACAAATGTATGTGTGTGTGATTAGCTATACATATATACACATACAGTTATTTATGCACATAAAAATGGCTCTAGGTATAAATATTGAATATGCTTATAGATATACTGGCTCTCTAGATACACACCTATAGGCATACATGCATAGATAGTTATGCATAAACAAATACAGCTATCGTTATACAGAGCAAGAGGGAGACCAAAAGTGTGTGTAGGTTTGGTTGCATGGAACCTTTATCGAGCACTATCGATATATATATATATATATATAAAGATACATTGATTTACATACAGAAATGCATAGAAAATTATATGTACACAGCTAGCTGTACCGCTGTAGTGAGCTACAGAAACAGACACAAAGCTATAGGTGTACCCTACATATACCCATGCGCACAGGTCTATACACAAACATACGGCCAGGGCCATGTGCACCATAAAGGATACACAAAAAAAAAAAAAAAAAAAAAAAAGAATCATAAAGGTTGGAAAAGCATGCAGACATTAACATTTATTTATACGGATTAAAACTACAAGGGGTGATTTTTCCCCATGCGCATGCATAGACAGCTGCACATACATGTGTGTGCATGGTTCTATGGCTGCAGCATGTACAGCACAGGTGGGGTGTGTGTATTTACAAGCATCATGCACAGCTCATGCTTTTTACATGCATGTGCTGATTTTCATGAATAGCTGCCCCACAACCTCCCCAGCCCCTTGCTGGGCTCTACGATGGGTGCTGGGGGAGCAGCATGTGGCCGGGGTGCTGGCTGAGAGCACCCTGCTGCTTGTTCCCCTGTTGGGCACAGGCCTGCCACATGCACGGACCCCGCAGCTGGGACCCCCCCCCCATCCAAGGGGAGGCTTTGGGGGGGGTCCCAGGGGCTCAGTGGGGCATAAACTAGGGCAAAACACAGGGTCTGGTATTTCCTTTCATCATCGATCGCTCCTCTCGTATTTACCCTCAGCCCATTGTGTTTGTAGAGGACATTTGTGTCACTCCTGCCATAAAAGACGCGTCAGTGATATGCTATGGATTGGGCACACTCCGGAGCTTTGCTGCCTGCCCTTGCCCCCCGTGCCGTGTTTGCAAAGCTCAATATTCGCCCTCTTCAAATAAATAAACCCGAAACAAACGGGCTTTGAATGGGCAGGAAAGCACCAGAGCCCCGGCACCTCCAGTGCTCCGCAGCAATCGATGGCTCGCTCCCGGGAGCATTTTTTACAAGGAACAAACAAATTGTTTTGCAATTTCTGGCTTTTAAAGGCTCGATCCGGGCCAAATGAGCCGTCAGGGTGACGGGGGCACGGCGGCTGCTTCCTGCAGCCCATCGGCTCGGCGGCGCCTTGACGCATGTTTGCAGAGTGACCGCGGGTGCTCGGCTCGTTCCCTTCTCCTGGCTTCATCTGGCTGCTTGCTCCATCCCACCTGGACATCCCAAAAGACGCCGTGGCAGTGACCATCCATGCTGACTGTGTCACCGTGTCCCTTGCCTGCTCCCCGGCCTCAGCTGTGCCCACCAAGAGGAGTGGGGTTGCAGCAGAGCTGGCAAACGGCAGCGGGGAGCACCCCCGAGCTGGGTTTGCAGAGCAGTGGTTGTGCTGAAGGGAGGAGGTTCCAGACATCAAAATGGAGAGCGGGAGGGAAGGGAGGAGAAAATGAGTGCAGGAGCAAAGCCCAAAGCTGAGGACATCCAGCACTGAGCCTCAGCAGCCCGCCTGGCCGGTGACCCCGCAGTGAAGGAAACTGAGGCACGACCAGACCAGATCTGGGTGCGTGTGGTTGCATCCTGAGGACATTTGATGGCCTCAGATTTCATTCCTAACCCCATGGCTTAAACACCCCACGTTCTGTTAGCTACAGGGGCTCTGTGAAAAGCTCCACCAAGCACGAGAGCCCCCCAGGAGCTCAGGCAGGCAGCAAGGCTTGAGCCTCACCACCGCCTGCAGGCGCTCTGCCAGGAGCGGGCAGGGCACGAGGGCACCCGCTGTCCCCCTGCACCTCGTGTGATTGCAGCAAACTGGTGGCCGAGAGCAAAGTCTCACAGGGAAGTAAATGGTGGCACAGAGGGCTGAGCGCCGCACAAAGAACCCAGGCTGAGGCAGGAGCTTCACAGCAGCAAACGAACGAACACAGCTCGGGGCTCTTAGAAAGCTGCCAAAACCATGAGGGGCCCCCCTGTGGATCCGCTGCGGGGCAGGGTGTAAGCTCCCCCAGCACACAGGGTGCAACGCAGTAACACCCCCTAGTGTGGGACACAGCCACCAGCAGGATGAAACACAAAGATTTCTGCTCGTTTCTGGGGATTTTAGGACATTTCACATCGCATTTGCCCACCCCCACAAGCAGGGCTGTTGTAAAATTGTTCCCTCGTGGCTCGTTCGGTGGCTCCGAGGCACAGAGGGAGGAAGGTGCTGCACCCCACCGGGGTTTGTGTGCCTGTGGCAGTGGTTGCTGGCCGGAAGCGGGAGCGCTGACCTTGCAAACCTCGCAAGCAACAAGCACGAGACCTGGTGTGAGGGTGATCAGGCCCCAGCCAAGAGGGAATGACTCAACAGCCGCTCTGGGGCTGTTTACTTCAACTTTGGCCAGGGAGGAGGAAGCCACAGCTGCTCTGCCTTCCCCTTCCTGCACCAGGTCACACTAGGACAGGCGGCCCAAGGCAGCGCAGAGCGCCCACCACCCCGCTTCATCCTCCCACCCCGCTCCAACTCACACAGCAGCAGAAGCTGCCAGGCCCCCAGAGCCACCACCTCTTTAAAGCAAAGCATTTTGGCTCCACAACACAACTGAATCCACCCATGGAGTGCTTTTGAAAACCATTTTTATTTAAATAAGACTTTAAATACATTACATAAAACATTAAAAATGAAACCAAAAATCTGTTACTTCACAGGGCATTAGGCAGCAGTTGCTAGTAACACGTAAGCTCTGCAGCTCTATCTACAACGATACTTGTTACATTAGTCCAAAATTGATCCCTTGTCAAAAGTTTAACCCAAGGTACTGGTTCCTTCAAGTACACTGCCCGGTATCTTTGGGCTTGTACGACACCAGCACCTGCCAGGCCGGAATTGCAGGCATCCAGCCTTGAAGTCACTCTTCAGTCACTCTTCTCGTTCAAAAGTCAAATTTTTTCCCCAAATCCCTCTACCACCAGGAGCAAACACTGCCTAGAGTGAAGGTCCTGTCTCCCCAGGCCATGCCACAGCTCGCGCTCAATGCCTCGCTCCGCGTGGGGCTGCAGGAGGCACCGCCAGTTACCGTCCATGGAAACGGAGGAGCCGCTGGACTGAGGAGAGATCCGGACGGTCTCTGGACTGACAGGCCGAGTCCCTTGGCTTAACTTGGAACATCTGGTTACTTTTAGCTTCAGGCCGGGCAGTGCCAAACGCCCGATTTACCTCTGTTAAATGAGGGACAGCAAGACGAGATAGCATGGGCTCGTGTCAGTTTATTACATCACTGAATTACACTAGTCCAGACTGAACAGTGGACCCAAGATTGTTACATTACACAAACCGGCTGGTTTTAAACTTATGACAAGGGACAGATGGGAATTTCATTGTAAGGAAATCTTCTTGCATAAAGCTTCAGTGACCCACAGGCACTTAAAACCCATGGACTTTCAGCTGGTCGTCTTTAGCCAGTCCAATCTGCAAGAAAAAAAATGCACTTTAAAGCACTTCAAACCAGACAAGACTCCATGGAGATCCACACGCTGCGGATGCTGTAGAACTGTCAGATCTCTGCTCCCCCCGAAGCATGGAATAAAAGTTATCCTGCAACTGCAAAACCTTGTTGGACAACATATTATTTAAGAAATTCAGTAAGAAGAGAAAGAGAGTCCTCCATCAGTATGTTTTAAAGACAGGAAAATGAGAATCTGCCTCCATCAGCATGGTATCTTAAAGCCAAGAACATGAGAACCTGCATCATGATTAAAGTGAAAAGTCACATTTGATGTAAAAATTAGCTATCACGTGCACCAGAACAAAACAAACCCTACCTCCACGAGGAACTGGCATATGTTCTTGCGCTGGTCACCTTGCAACTGAATCACTTCTCCATATTCAGGGTGTTCGATCACAGTACCATTGCAGGCAAATTTCTGGAGGAGGGGAAGAAAAAAAGAACGGAAAAAAAAGATTTTTAGCAAGAAAAAGGCAAAACCTGCCCCCGCAGCCCCCCACCACCCCCCCCAGCAGCCGCCGCCCGGCTCCCTCCATCTGTCGACGCCCCGGGGCTGCACCCACCTTCTTGAAGGCCTTCACCAGTTTCTTTTTATCGTAATCATCCGCGATGCCCTGGACAGTGGTGAGGGTCTTCCTGCCGTTCCGCTGCTGGATCCTTATATGGATGTAGTCCTCAGTGCCGGCAGGAAGCAGGTCATCACCCTTACTTGCATCAGCAAAGGGGTCTGCGGAGAGCGCCCATCAGAGCCGGCCGCCCCGCCCCTCCGCGCTCCCCATTGGCCACCCCGCCCGTCTGTCAGCGCGAAGCCACGCCCCCTCCTTTCTCCCTCCCCTCCCCCCCCCCCTCGGCTGACGCAACCGTCCCCGGGAATAGCAACTGCGCCACGGGGCGGGGCCCGGCCTGGGAGGGGCCGCAAAGGCCCGGCCCGGCCCTGCCCCGCCGCCCGCCGCACAAAGGGCGCTCACCGAAGGGTTGGAGGTTCTGGATAGCGGACATACGATACGCTTCCCTTCCCTCGGCGAGGCGGCGGCGGCGGGCGGCGGCTGAGGCGGCGGCGCGGCGGTGGCTGAGGCGGCGGCGGTGGGCGCGGAGGATGCTCTCGCGGCGGCGGCTGCAGACGCTGTCAGGGGGGCGGGACTGCGGCCGCCCGCTTATATACCGCCCGCTGTGACGTCAGCACGCACGGCGAGCGAGGGCGGTGATTGGCTGCTTCGCCATGGGGGGGGGGAAGTGGGGGGGGGGGCGGTCGCGGCGCGCGGGCGAACGCGGCCGCGCCCTAGGCTGGGGAGAGGGGAGAAGGGCGCATGCGCGGCGGAGGGCGCCGGTGGGAGGGGGGGTGCGGGGAGGGAGGCAGGGCGGCGCATGCGCGGTGCGGCTGAGCCTCGAGGGGGCCTGGGCAGCGCCATGGGGGGGGGGGGGGAATGGGGGTAGTGGGGGGGGGGGGGGTTGGGGACAGGGAGAAGGATGGGGACAAAGGGGGGGCTGGGGACAGGGAGGGGGTAATGGGGACAGGAAAAGAGCTTGGGGACAAAGGGGGGGGCTTGGGACATTGTGGGGGGGCTTGGGGACAAAGGAGGGGGGGGGTAGAGGCAGTGAGGGGGGGCTGGGGACAGGGAGGGGGTAATGGGGGCAAGGGGGGGCTTGGGGACAAGGGGAGGGGCTTGAGGACAGGGAGGGGGGCTGGGGACAAGGGCTAAAGGCAATGGGGGGGGCTGGGGACAGGGAGGGGGCGTGGGGACAGTGGGGGGGGGGGCTTGGGGACAAAGGGGGGGGACCTGAGGACAGGAGGGGGGATCTGGGGACAGCTGGGGGGGGCTAGGGATGAAAAGGGGACCTAGGGATAGTGGGGGGGGGACCCTGGGGACAACGGGGGAGGGGGGATGGGGAGGGGGCTCAGGGAAAGGGGGGACCTGGGGGCAGGGGGTACTGGGAACAGCGGGGGGGGACTTGAAGATGGGGAGGGGGCAGGGGACAGTGTGGGCCCCGCTCGCTCTGTCCCCCTTCAGTGCCCGGGGGACAGAGGTGGTGACCTCCATGGTGGGCACAGGGGGGGCCCACGACCGTGTCCCTATATCACTGGCAGCCCCACGAATCCCACCTGCTGCTGTCCCAGGGGGGTGACACCACCACGTCTCCCCTTCCCCGTCACCTCACGTGGGCCCCTGAGGCTGGGGAGCTTTTTTTTCCCTCAAGAAATGGCTGAAATGGGGCTGCCTGATGCCTCGGGCAAGCTGATGTCCCCTGGCAGGGCAATCTCGGCCCCTTTTTGCTGTGTGCCCTGGCCCCTCGTCACCTCCCTGGTCCCGGTCATATTGGGCAGATGAGGGATGGCGCCGTCCTGGCCCGGTCAGGACACCCCCGTCACCCCGATCACGCCACGCAAGCTTTGGGGATGTGATGTGACAAAAGCATTTTCCGGAGCCATCTCAGCAGGGGAACGAGCCCAAGAGAGGCCTCGGGTCCTTCCCTCAAAACCCCACACACATTTGGGATGTGACCAAATGCCCTTCAAAACCAGGCGCATTCAATCCTGCTCCCAAATCCTAATTTCGGGGGCCTGCAGCCTGCATTTCGGTGTTCAGTGTGAGCTGCCGAGATCATTTCCAGCCTTCCTGGTGCCTGCCGTGTGCCTCAAAACCCCTCACGAAGCGGCGAGCGTCTCCCAGCACCGCCTCCGTGCGGGGCCGCCGGCAGATGGATGGCCCAGGCAGCCCGAAGCTGCGTCGTGTGTGCTAAAAATACACCAAAACCCCAGATATGAAGGCCAGCAAATCTCCTACACAATTAATAACGGGGTCAGAAGCCATATAGATCCAGACAGAGCACAAAATCTCTTCTGGGAGCTGGTCAGAGCTGCTCATAGGGCCGGAATATCGCTGCCACGGGGACACGGCTCTGTCAGGGTGGGTCGTGCCAGGGGCTGTTTATCCCGGAGCTGTTCAGCTCCTTTTACATCTCCCACAGCCTCAGCTCCCGCTGTTAGGTGTTCCTGCCCTGCGTTTGGAGCCCCCTGGGAAATATCGGGTAGTTTTTGGCAGGTTCTTGGCATCTGGGAGCACTGCCATCAGTGGGGCCTGCCAGCTGCCGCGCGGCCTGGGCCTCGCGTCGTTGCTGGGGGCCTTCAGATAAAGCATTTATCGTGCACCAGGCAGAGTGTTCCTGCTGTATTTTTGCATTCCTGCTGTATTTTTGTGTTCCTGCTGTATTTCGGTGTTCCTAAGGCCTCCGTCACCTTCCTGTGTCCCCGTGTGAGGGATCAGCAGCAGCACTGGAATATTTTCACTGCCGTCAACGTGCTCCACGGCCGCCGCGCTCCAGCAGTGTGTGGCTCTCGCTCCTCGCCTTCTGATCGCGTTTTCCTCCTCTCCCGGAGCAGAAACCATCTCCAGTGGCCTCCTGCTGGGCTGCCCAGGCACCAGAGGGGTAATTGGGCATTTCCAGTGCATCTCGCTCCAAGTGCATCTGCTGGGGGAAAGACTGCTCATCCTATTTGGAGTCACAAATAGGCAATGGAGTCACAGCCACTTCTTGTCTTCTGCCTCCTGTTGGGCAGAATGGCCTCGTGGCTGGGCCAGGATGTACCAGAGAGATGATTTATCAGCGTCACTGCAGATTTGGCATCCATACCATACATCAGGGTTTGTATCGTCATCACCAGATCCCCAGAACCTTTGGTAAAACACCAGAAAGGCGAGTGTGTGGGTACCAGAGCTGGGCCCAGCGCTGATGTGGGGCTGGCCACTGCCAAAGAAATGGTTTCAACGTTTTTAACACCAGTTTTCCGTCCTTCAGGGCAGGAGCTGCCTGTCCCGGGCTCCCCACGAGGTGGCAATGCTGCTCTCCTGTGCAGGAGCAGTTCTGCCGCCAGGTAAGGATGAGCTGCTGCAGGAGCTTTCGTGCCCGGTGCCTGGAAAAAAAATAAAAATACTAAAATAAAACAAAATAAAATAAAATAAAACAAAATACTAAAAAAATATATAAAATTAAATAAAATAATAATAAAACAAAATATAGTGCAATAATAAACAAAATAAATCAATAATAAAATAAAATAAAATAAAATAAAATAAAATAAAATAAAATAAAATAAAATAAAATAAAATAAAATAAAATAAAATAAAATAAAACCACCTCCAGGCTGACCACTAGCTCTGTGCACAGGAAAATCTCAGTGTGTGGGGCCGTGGCGGTGTCTGGGGAGCTTCCAGGTGCGTTTTGGGATCACCAGGTGGAGCGGAGAGCCCCCGGAGCGGTTTGTGTCCTGCTTTCCTGGTCCCACGGCACCGCAGTGGTGCTAGGGGCTGGGGCTGGCTTCTGGAAACCACCTCAAACCTTTGCAGTGAGGGGCACAGACGGGGCACGGCCGGGCTCTGCGGCGAGGAAACCCACAGACAGAGAGGGCAGGGGCTGCCCAGTGCCCGTGCTGCGGCTGCAGAGGAGCTGCAAGGGGAAAAGCCCCCGAGGGCACCGTGTGTGCACCCTGTGTGCGGGGTCCTGGGTGCTTTTGGGTGGGTGACTGACCTTTGGTGAGGCCACAATGCCGTGCTCTAGGGATGGGAGGGAATCCTCCCAGCCTTTAGCACCCACAAATCAGCTTTTCTCCTCTCGCATCCTTCCTGCAGCCTCCACGTGACTGCACAGACCCAGGTTCGGGACAAGCTGGATTTTTGACGCACGCCGTTTGATCCCATAAATCAGCGCCGACAGTCATTAGCCCTGATGATTAATTAACCTGCTCCTGGAAAGCGCTGGGGCACGGCCGGGGTGAGCCCGGTTGTCACGGGGCCAGCGGCAGCGCAGGGCATCCCCGCGCTGTGTGCTCAGAGGCCACCTTCCCTTTGTGCACGTGGGAATTCCTGGAAATTCACATCCCAAAGTTTGCAAACCCTGGGAAAAAAATAAAAAATAAAAAATTAATGAGTGAGGGAAATGACCTCTGCCCACCCAGGGGATGCTCTCTGTGCCACCTCCCCCCCCGATCTGTGGGATGCTGCAGGGACGGAGGGGCTGTAATGGGGACATTCAAAGGCAGTTTCCAAAGCATCCTCCTGGACACCGCAGCCTGTCCCAAGGCCACCCCTGGCTCCTGCCTCACCCGGGGACCCTCCATCAGGAATTTGCCTCTGGCTCTGTGCCTGCTGCTGCTTTCTAGCGGGTGGCAAGCAGCCTGGGCTTTGTGGGGCTGGGGTCAGGGCTTGGTGCTGAGCTGCAGCCCCCAGGGCTCTTGCTGTGCCCAGCTCTCCTCCTCCTAGCAGGAGCCTTCCTCCCTCCCTGCTCAGCCTTCCTCTTCCTCGACACCCGGCTGTGAAACCTCAGCTCTCCGCGAGGTGCCAGGAGAGCTCTGAGCACGGGGCTCAGCGCCGGGGAGCCGCTGGGTGCTGCGAGCAGGCACAAGCCCTGCTCAGCCTCTCCCTGCCTGCACGCTCACAGCAGGGCCAGGCAGCTTCCTCCAGTGGGGAAACACCTCACCGTGGCCAGGGGGTGGGTGTCGGGGAGCCCCCACAATTGGGGGCTGCAGCTCCATCCCCGGGGTCCGTGTCTGTGCTGTGGGTTTGGCCGCTCGCTTGTGTTTGGGGCTGGGGGGTGCTGTGGGTTTGCTGCGGAGAAGGGGAGCCAAAGCCCCCCTGCAGCCCTGGCCGCATCCTGGCTCACTCCTGCGGTGCCAGGACCTGCCCTGCAGTGGGGAATTGCCCCCAGCTGAGGCTCCAGCCCCGTGCAGTCAGCTCTTTTCTATCAGGGGAGGCATTAACCAAATGCCCACCACTGCAGCGGGGTCACCGCGCAGCCCCAGCCCTCCCTGGGGACCCAGCATCAGCCGGGAGCAACGGCAGAGTCCGAACCCACAGCAGGGGAACGGGGAGAGGGAGACGGGGGGGGGGGAAAGAAGGAGGGGAGCAGCTCCCACCACCAGCACCCTGCAGACCCCCTGCCTGCCCCGGGGGCGTCTGGTGCGGAGCTGGGCTGCTGCTCCAGGACACGGTGAGCTGGGCATGGACCGTGCCATCCCCAGAGCCACCTCTGTGCCCCCCCTCCAGGGCTGCCCCCACCTCACTCAGTGACACAGAGCAAGGCCGGAGGGATTTCTGCTCCGGGGGGGCTCGGAGGAGGCATTGAGGGCAGCTGGAGGAGCCAGGACAGGGGGAGCTGCGGTGGCACGGGGCTGACGCAGAGCCCTGGCACTGGCCGTGCCGGGTGGATCAGCCCCGCTCAGCACCTCCGTGCCTCGGCCCCGGCTGTGTTCCCACATGCAGGCAGACGTGCTCTCGCCAGGTGTGCCCTGCTGCATTGCACTTTTTCACACCTGGCTCACGCCGTTGCTTCCGAGCCACTCTGGGTGCCGTGGGAAGGGGCAGAGGTGCTGGTGGGGCAGGGGGGTGCAGCTGGGGCTGTACCACATCTCCTGCTGCTTCTCCCCCTGCAGCACGGCTGGGATGTGCACGTGGAGCCCTGTTCCACGTCAGGGAGAGGTTTTGGGTCATGGAGAGACCCGGGCAGGGCCTTTGCTGGGGTTCTGGTGGGCCTGGCAGCTGGGTTTTGTTGGTCCCTTGGATGCTCACCACCAGCACCAGCACCGGGGAGGTCAGTGGCCACAGAACAGCCCATGCCAGCCCCTTGCTGGGGTGCCCAGCCACGGGGTGGCCCAAATGCTCTGGGAAAGGCAGCGACACCATGCTCTGGGTGCCCCCAGGCACAGCCCCGTGCCCTGATGTTGCCTCGCACAAAGGGGACCAAGGCAGGGGCAGGGGGGCTGAGCCCTGCCGTGAGCCCGGGGGTCTCCAAGCTCCCCACAGGAGGAGCAGCCCCTTCCCTCTGGCTTTGCACTGCCTGGCTCAGCTCGGCCCAGCCTGGGGCTCTCCCTCTTGCTCCTGCTCCTGTTTCTGCCCCTGCTTCTGCTTCCGATCCTGTTTCTGCTCCTGTTCCTGCTTCTGTTCCTGCTCCTGCTCCTGCCGAGGCAGGAACCAGCCCCTCCGTGCAACCAGCCCAGCTTGCAGGCAGCCCAGGCTCCCTGTCCTGTATGATGGGAGAGAGGTCTCTGGGGTGCAGCCACCTCCTGCTGGGACAGGGGTAAAGGGACGAGAGAGCTTCTGGGGGCATCATCAGCAGAAACAGGCACACGGCAGAGCCCGGCAATCCCCACTCTGCTGACTCGAGCAGAGCGAAGGGGCAGGGCAGGCCAAACACCTTGGTCAGCAGCCGCCTTGCCCCACTTTGTTTTTCACTTACCAGGCAAAACCCACGAGGGGTGTGAGCCCCAACCAGCGCACCCCAGCCCCTGCAGCCCCTCCCGGCCCCGTGGCCAGGCACGCTCAGCCCTGCCTACACACAGCAACTCCCCGAGGGCCAAACACTGGCTGCTGGCCAGCGCCTTCCCGCACGGCTGGCAGAGCGCAGCCCCGTCCCGGCACGGCGCCCGGCGCTGCAGGGATTTATTTGCCTCTTACAAAACACTTGGCTCCGGCACCCGCCCTGCCCAGCCGGGACGGGAGCTGGCAGCGCTCACGCTCCGGGGTCCCAGCACCCTGGGATGGGTGCTCCTGGTGCCCTGAATGGGGTCAGAGAGGTCCCCGTGCTGCCAGGTCCTGCAGCCGTCTGTCGGTTGTGCTGCTCCGGCTGCATGTCGGGGTGCAGCAGCAGCGAGCTTTGCCTATCTCATGGTGCTCAGGCCCCTTATCTCAGCAAGCCAGCCCATGCCAGCCTGGCAGGGGGACAGGGAAACCTTCACAGGCTGTGCAAAGGTTGGCCACAGCTTGGCCACAGCCCCTTCTTTTGGCTAGGAGATGGTGGCGAGCAAAGTGCCGAACTCCTTTGCGCAGTGGCAGCGCCCCAGCGACCACAGCCGGGGCTGTGCCTTCCCCGGGAGACCCTGAATCCCCCAGCTCCTCTCCTCCGAGGCACTTCCAGGCAGCGCTCTGGGCTGCTTTTTTTCCCCTGCCCCTCTGCCGTGGGTGATTTCTGCAGTCCCGGAGCACGGGCACTGCTCAGTTGACACATGCACAGCCTTCCCGACAGCCCTGGTGGCACGGGGCTGCCCCGGACAGCCGGGCTGCGATGGAGCTGTTGCCTTTCTGCAAGCATTTCTGCTGCCGTTTGCTGCTGCTCTCGAGCTGTGGGCTCAGCCCTGCGCTCACCCTGGCTGGGGGCTGCGGAACCCTGAGCCGGGAGCAGGGTTTGGGTAAAACCCATGGGTCTGAGGGTGGCTGCCCCCTCCAGCCGGTGGCACAGCCGGGTGCAGGCACTGCACGGCTCCCCACTCCCCTATGGCCCTTCTGCTCCAAACACGCCTCCATTTCAGTTTCATGTTCTGCTTTTCATATCCTAACCCAGAGCAGGAACAAAAATCCACCCGCAACCTCCCCAACCTGGGGGCTCTCCGCCGTGCCTGTTTGAAGGAACCCCCCCAGGGGCACGGGGCTGCCCAGGAGACCCCCTCGGCCCCTCGAGGCCGCATCGGGGTGCGCTCCCGCTGCGTCAGCCCCGCGTTTCTTCCAGCTGACGTGGCCACCCTGCCGCCGCCCTGCCGCGGCTTGCCCCCACGCCCAGCGCCAGGCTGTGATTAGCGAGGCGGGGGCCGCCGGCGCGTTCCCATCACCCGCGTCACCACCACCGCCCTCGCCGGCGCTGCCAGCCAGGTGTGTGCCGCGGGAGCCGCCGCTTCACTGCCTAAAAAGGAAGCCACCCGCTCGCTCCCGATTGCAAAACTCCCTGGGCTGGGTGCTTGTGCTGGCTCCCTGCATTCCCAGCAGTTCCCAGGAGCCACTTGAAGCCCCGACGCCCCCCGCTTCCCCCGCCTGCAGAGCCCCCGATCATGCCCTGAGCCCCGTTTGGGGTCCCTGCGCCCACGGGGAGGAGGGAGGTGGGGAGGGGATGGAGGTGGGGAAGTGCACAGTGAGCGTGGAGCAGCCCCGTGGCATGGGACCCATGTGCTGTGCGTGGCTGTAGCATGGCCATGGTGTGGGCACGTGTGCCTTGCACCCTTCTGGGGCTCCTCTCAGGCTGTGCCTGGCCCCACTGCAGCCCCAAGCTCTGGTCCCAGCAGCAGATTCAAGGGGTGCTGGCCGTGCCAGCTCTGCACCAGCTCTGTGCAGGCCTGGCTGGGGTGAGCCACGTCCCAAGGACTCGTAGATGAGCCTGGGACTGGCTCTGGACACGCGGTGTTCCTGGGGGAAGCTCACATTCCTGCAGCTCCCGGTGCTCAGCGCATGGTGCTGCGGCACGCACCGGCCAGGACAGCGGTGCCAACGGCCCAGCGATCCCACGGGGGCCTCAACGCTGGGTCCCTGGCACTGTTTGGGAAACGCAGTTATGGCTGAATTTTGGGGAGCTGGCAGCTCCAGCCAGGGCTGTGCAATGGTGCTGGATCCTTGGGGTCATGGGGGACAGGGCAAGGCGCAGGGGACGGGAAGGACTCGGGTCCTTTCTTGCTGGTTTAGCTCCCAGAAGGGACGACGTGTGTCGGAAAGGGCTCGGCGGGTCCAGCCCTGTCTGTGATTCGGGGTATGCCAACTCCCTGCTGGGTACTGGCAGACTGGTGCCCTGAGCAGGAATGGCCCCACAGCCCCCTGGGCCCCCCAGGTCACCCCTGTCCCCCACAGATCACCCTGTCCCCCTCAGGTCACCCTGTCCCCTTCTTCAGGCCTGGATCCACAACAGTCACCGGGGAGCCATCCCCTGCCAAAGCAGGGCAAGGGCCAAAGGTCCCACCCAGCCCAGCCCTGGCCACTGCACAAGGCTCCGATCTCTTGGGGACACTGGTGCAATGCCCCCAGCTTTGTGCCACCAAACCCCACAGGCTCGGAGTCCCTGGGGAAGGACGTGCAGAGCCCGGCTGTGTCGGGGCACTGAGCTGCTCTGCACCCTGTGGAGGGGAAGGGCAGAAACGAGCCTTCCCCAGCACCTGCAGGAGCTCCTGGGGCAGCAGGAGAGGGCAGGGGGCTGCCCGCAGTGCC